TACACGGCGTTATATCCAAGAACATAGAAATGTTCATAACTATCACTGGGAGAAGCCCACTCAAATCCTACAAAGTGGCGCATAAAATGGTCCAGTATTTAGCATTAAATATTCAACCAATTCAATGAACGATGTTCTGTAAAACAGTAAATCATGGAGATTAGTTCTTACTCTTCCCGAGCGCGCTAGTGTCGCGCTGATCCTGCTCATGCGCAAGTTTTCATAAAATGGCTGACGAAGGAAGACTGCCTGTAGAACAACGCATATAAAACACTGTTGTTCTTCACTGATAGGAATATAAAGCCATGTAGTGCCTGTCAGCAGGCTACGAGTATATGGCATTATATCTCAGAAGATAGAACACTTCATAACCACAACTGTGAGAACCTCAAATGCTACAAAGTTGGACTTGTGACCAACTATGTGCAGAGGAGTCGAGACTTAGCTTTTAAATCACGCTGTACTCTTGTGTGCTCTGTTAAGCACGATATACGGCAGGCTGTAGTTGTCCCTAGGGACATCCCAGCACGTTCACGTGGAAATGTCTTCTTTTCACCGCTCGCCTGTCAGCCTTACTTAAGTTTACTTTATACGCTAGCGGTAAGATTTGTTATCCTTTTCTATGACACGATTAGGACTCAAGTAAATATCATTTAACCTTTATGTGAGCTTTGCAAAAAGTTCATAAAATGAACACCTAAGAGGAATACCAAGCCGACAAAAGTGAATAGGATTGATATTTGCTGCTGATTTTCTTAAGATAAGACAACGGTCTCGTGTGATGAGAAGCCATGTATTCTGATGGATATATATTAACGTTTCGAAGGAATCTACTGATCCATCTTCAGGGCCAACTTTGTGGTTTATTTTACGACTGTTACCAAATCTGGTTGTGTAGCATATAAACGGTAGAATGACCGGTGTGTAATGAATTGGCACCATTTGGAAGAAAGTTGTGGCCTAACCGAGGTACTATCCCAGTATTTCCGAGGAAGATCTGAGGAAAGACAAAAAATACTTCAGTCAGGGCCGAAATTCGACACGAGGACCTACGGAATATAAACCTGTTCCATTTCAGTGTCGAGAGAATTGTCTACCCCTAAAATATAGGCAACACGTTCCTCAGAAATTTTGAAACCTATCTACCACGCTAAATGGAGCCACATACAAGAAGACCGTAATCATGGAACTCGTCGCAGTTATAACCTCAAATTTCGCGGTTTATTAGTTTCTCATTTTTTTTTTAATATTGTAGCATTTTTGCTCAAAGCAAGAATTATGGGGACAAAGAAACAGCCGTTGCTAACAAACTGCTCTGAAACAACATTCGTTTCTGGGCGCTGTCCCCGAAACAAACGGAACAACGTCCGTTGCTAGGCGGAGGAGTCTTAATAAGAATAGACGGTCGTCGCTATGGAACGGCTAGGTAAACACGTTTCCGTGGCAATAGATATGCATGAAACAGAGAAACGGTGTTTTCTACATGGTCCGTGCCGATATGTTAAAAGCAAGGGCAAGGTTAGAGCTTAGACAGTTCAGTTTGGAAGTCAGGCACTGAATAGAAGCTGATATCTGAGGCCGGTTCGGGAACCCAGAGGAATGGGAACAACCGCCGTTGAAACCGCTACCAAGCTACGGCAGCGAAGACGTGATTGTGGGCACTAGTGTGTGTGTGTGCGCGTGCGTGAAACAGCTTACTGCAAAATGTAGTCATGCGCTGTATCAAACAGTCCAATAAATCAGGTCATCAATGCAAACCCCGTCTATAGTCATTAAAAGAGTGACTATACACTATACTGCAATGTATTAGTGATCAGACACGGGGTTTGGATTGCTGATTAGATTTATTGACAACTTACAACTCGTAACTACAAAGAATTAGAGCGCTGTCGTTAATTCACACAATTTACAAATCACTACAACATACACTAAGTCTGGTAGCGGATTCCAATAATGTTTTCTTCTGTTCACGTCGGTATGGGCTGGCAACTATCTCGCAACGACCCCATGGCTCCAAATGTCTTCACATTCTCTGCTGACTAATATTTCCGAATGACTATCGCTATATAACCTCAGCACAGACCGCATAAAAAACATCGCTTCCAACAGTTTCTCTATTGTTGCGTGCCTAACCGTTGCCAAGAGACGGGTTTATCGGCCGTTACCTAGCAAACGGACTTCTCTTCTGACTCCACTATTTCAGCATTTCAGCTGCCATGTCACAATATGTATGTATAATTTTATATTGTTGAACCCGTAAAAGTTTGTGTGAAGAGGCTGTACGTCATATGATGCTGAATTTGAGACATATTGCACTTTTGCTTTCACTAGACTTTCCCTGCGGGGAACCGATGTAACTTCGTGGCCATCTGAGCAACTTGAAGGGGTTTTCATGTCTCGCCACAAGAGACGATATCCCACGAAGCCACAGAATCCCTTAATATTATATTTTACTGCACTTTATCACCATAAACTGAATTTCCTTTATGTTTACGTGGTTATTGCGCGTCACGTGTACTACAAAGGCTTGTGACACCAATGTGATATTTCTGTTCAGAAGGCAGCCTATGGCATATTGCTATTATCGCCTATTATGTAGCTGTCGAACTATGAATGCAAATTCTCCGTATATACGAGTATAAAATTAATATTCCGTCGTCAGGTGTTTTAGCACTTACTTGATATTAGTTAGAAACTGGAAAGGAAGATGGCAGCAGCAAACGGCAGTGAAAGGTAGCCTTTGTCTAAAACATCTCTGAATGTACGTCACACCTTGTGTAGGCAATTTTACGGAAGAAAAATCTCGTGTGTTCAGCAAGATTTCTCAAATTTCAATTCTGGTTCCCATCATGTTTTGGAATTAGAATATAATATAATATATATAAAGATCTACGCCATTATATGAAGATGACGCAACCCCAATTATATTTTCGGCACAGAATATGCTTGAGTCGGTATTCTATGCTATGTAGCGTGCATGGGGAGAAGAGAAACGCATACGAATATTTTGGAGGAAATCCAGAAGAAAAGAAGTCATTTCAAGACACAGGCATAGATGGAAGAATAATGTTAAACTGGATATTAAAATTACTGCAAGGGTGTGGAGTGTATATATCCCCCCCATCAGAGTAGGAATCAGTGACGATGGAAGAATGGAGAAAACTGCATAATGAGGAGCTTCGTAACTTGTACTCTTCTCCAAGAATAATTAGAATGAGAGAGTAAAGGAGGATGAGATTGGCAGGACATGTAGCACGAATGGGAGTAAGAGGAGTGCATATAGGATATTGGTGGGAAAGGCAGAAAGAGAGAGCTGCTAGGAAGACCACGACGTAGATGGGTGGATAATATTAAAATCGATCTTAGAGAGATAGGATGGGGTGGTATGGACTCGATTGATCTGGCTCAGGATAGGGACCAGTGGAGGGCTCTTGTGAACACGGTAATGAACCTTCGGGTTCCATAAAATGCAGGGAAATTCTTGTGTAGCTGCAGAATTTGCGGCTTCTCAAGAAGGGCTCAGCTCCAAGAGTGAGTGAGTAAGAGTCAGTGGCGGATTCTGGTGAATATGGAAATGAAACTTCAGGTTTAATAGATTTTACTTATTTAGGGTTTCCGTTTCCAGTATCGCATACTATACACTTTCGGAGGTGGGATAATTGATGAATAATTAATTGGATAGTATGAATGTTATAAAAGAGACTGGATTTATTGACTATCTGAGCAACTATCAGCTTCTTAGGAATGACTCTGCTCTATACAATAGGCTAGTTTGCGTATCTCTAGACAGTAGAACCGCTTAGGGTGTATTCTTGTTTTATGTAGGTCAGTGCCTTTGTATAAATATAGATGCTTTTTCAGAATTTTCAGAATTACTAAAGTTAAATATTCTTGATGAAATGTGTTTGTGTTTGAAAAAAAATGCAACTATACAGAAATCGTTTTAACCACAAAATCCATGCTTCATATGAAATGATGATACTAATGACCGCGAGTCGTTGTTCAACGATAATTACATGAATGTTTCTCATGCCTTAATTCGAAAACAGCGACATTTCATCTGCACATAGCTCATCGGTCAATTTATAAATTTCATACTGAGTTCTGACTTAAGCCATTCTTACTGAGCACGAAGAAAACTGTACTTCATTAACGTCCTATCGAAATATGTATATATTGTGGCATTATTACTCAAGGCAAGAAGAACTGTGAAGCCAGCAGAAACAACCGTTGCTAGGGAACCGTTCTGCAAACACTCCCGTTGTTAGGCAAACATATTTGTATCATGCAATACTGGAGTAACTGAGAAGCGGTGTCCTCTACGCGGTTCGTGCGATAGATACGTGAGGCAACAACAGGACAAGAGTTGGCAGAGGTGTTTTCAATTCTGTCCGTGCCTAGGCTATTTAAGGAGAAGCAGCTCTGTTTACGGGAGAGTCATCTGTGTGGCGGCGGGGTCGAATACCTGCACCGTGACCCTGCGAGTCGTAGGAGGCGACAAAAAGGGAAGTCTCAAATTTGAGACAGTAATATATGGTCTCGAGTACCAAGGGACTCGGACCCGAGAAAGACGGCGGTGACAAGGACCAGCAGCATATACAAAAGACAGACCCGTCCTCTCGTCAGAGAGGGCGCCCTACAAAAAACATGACCGTAACTGTCAAACAATAATAAATATCTGGTCATGAACCCCAGGAGGGTGCTCGACACCAAGACTTACTGACTGACTGGCCGTCAGTCGCAATGTGACTTTGACTTTGACTTGCGGGAGAGTCTTGAGACGGCTGTTAGAAGAGTAGGCGTTAGTTGTGAGACAGTCGCAGGTCAGCAAAGATGTGAACACGGAAGCTGAGGATCCTACGGCGATGGAAGTCTATCAGTGTACAAAACTCTCAATTTCGATGGACCTCAGAAAAATGAAAAACGATTTTAAACGGTCATCAGCTGTCCAAAGCATAGCCAGGAACTCATCAAGCATCTATGTCCTAATGTGTACTTACCTTGGGATATCCCCGATCTTGGGAGGCCGACCTCTGCCCCGACACGTTCTCTCGCCCCAAACACAGGAAGCCGCTGTAACAACGGATAAGCGAATGAAGCGATTCCGGTAAACCATTTCACAATACTGAGTTAACTTAAATTTTCATCTAAATGTTAAAATACAGATTGCAATATATACGTATATACAACGGCAGGCGGATTATATTAATCTGTATTCTGTTCAGTAGGTTTATATTCAGGCTTACCCATTTCGGAGGTGAATCTACTCTGACTAACCTAATGTACTACATAAATACTAGCTTAACATCCACTGAGAACTGAATGGGAAGTCTCAACACTTGTTATACGAGTACAAGCTTTCATACTGTTAACTTCCCTGCTTTCCCCCCATATTCCTTTCCAGTGCTGTATGTCATCACACCATCTCCCACTAATAACACGCACGAATAGTCAATCCCAAATCATATTCTTTACGCGGTATACAATTCTTCACGTATGCACATGAAAATATCAGCATTTACAGAACAGAAGCGACATACTGAAGCAAAAGACCGCTCGCTCGTTCAGGACCTGCTACGTAACGAATATTCATGGAAAAGGTTGAAGCTCGATAATTCATTGCTACGGTAATACGAAATTTAATTATTTCGGAACATTCATCTCAACGTAAAATCACTTATATACACGTGTATATGGGAGGAAATTCTTGCCAGTTCCCCCTTTCCTGACGCGGTCGCATTAGAGGGCACACAAAAGTATCTGCCTGCCTGTCTATCTGTCCATCTATTTATATATCTGTGGCTCTACAGTCCTTTTGTTGGACCTTGGCCTTTTTTTCAAATTCTTAATCCTATACACAGTCGGTAGGACATCTTGGACGGGGGATCAGCCAGTCGCTAGGACGTTACCTACACACAGAACAACACAAACACAGAATAAACGTTCACAGACATCCATGCCCTAGCGGAATTCGAACCGACGATCCCAGCGTTCGAGTGAGTGAGACAGTTCATACCTTACACCGCGCGGCCACTGTGATCGGCCGAGAGATATCCGGAAAATTTGAATTCTGAAGAGTTCTATCTCCTGGGATATAACGCCGTGTACTGTGTTGAAATTCGCCCTTGATTTTCAACGGACTACATGGGGTTGTGTCCCAGAACTCTTCGTAACCTCCACTGTGATAACTTCTTATCCAGCAACCTAAATTCTGTCGCTTCCTTGCCTGTTCAGCCTGCCACCAAAATATATTTCTTAATTCTCATTTCATCCATAAGAGGAATGGAGCGCTGGTTTGCTGACATCCAGTGGAATGATATACAAAACAGAATTCCAGGAAGCGTTGACGCAACAACTGACCTCAGTGAAATAAAACGATGGATAAGACTTACACTCTTGACGCGGTTGGCGTCTGTGAGGATAGCGTACAAGGCGCTCAGAAAAGTGGAATTTTGTTGGAAAAAGAAGAGAAAAAGATGGAGGTGAAGTGGCAGAGGGAAATGGCACTGGTATAGGGTGACTTGTGTGCTGGAGAGATATTTGCCTCGTTTCTTTGGCTCTGGGGCCCACCGAACCTCATATCCAATGGGTACCGGGGGCTCCAGCTGTACCTACATTCCCTATACATCTTCATGGCCTGGTGCTTATTTAAGCAGAGGGACAATTTTACCTTTACTTTTACCTTATAAACATTTGTCTGTACGGAAAGATAGTCGAAATTTTGCTACATAGAAATGTCTTACGTGATTGAAGCGTGAAACATAAATAGACTACAGTTGGAAGAAATTACGTACTTAAGACTGTAGTAGACTATACCATATTAAGAATGATCACTTTAAGTAAAGAACGAGGACTACAACCGGTTCAATACCAAAAAAGATTAACACAGTACTTCTAAAAGTTTGTGTCGATTTATTGAATTTTTGGACATTGTCCATCGTCCTGTTTTTATGTAAAACAGGACGTTTCGGAGACTATATTCAATACAATATTCAAACCAATAGTCATGTATACAGTAACACACAGAAGTATTTAGAAGTACGAGTAATTGTATTAAGCTTTATTGGCTAATTAAATTATTCATATTCACAAAGAAAAATGATTACCTGAAGCAGAATTTTAAGTATATGAAAAGAATCAGCTTCAATCTATTGTGATGTATGTGTCCATTGCTACACAACGGCTCGGTAAACACATCCCAGAATTTACGCTCTCAACAGCAGAACATCTATTGCTAAGTAAAGGACACAAACACACATTCTTGACAAGAGGTGTTTTCCATGCGGTACGTGCCGATATATTATAAGAGGGCACAATAAGAAGAATTGAAGGAGTACAAAGGAGCAAAACGGAGTTCAGTCGGGAGTCAGAATAGCTCCAGTGGAGTGTTCAGACAGAAGATGGCCGTGTGTCAGACAGTGATATGTGAGCTGTTGTAACCAGTTGTATAAATGTCCAATAAATTTGATCATCAAATCCAAATACCCATCTTATTAGTCACGCAAACCCCGGATACTTGACAATATTTTGACTAAACGCTCTGCGAAAGAAGCAATAGAAAGGAAGAAACAGCTTGATAAACCTAGTTGAAGATGCGAGGGTAATATTAAAAATATATAAGTTAATAGGGTATGAGAATCTGAAATGGATTCCTGCATCTCGGAGAATGGTGCAGTACTGAACTCTCACGAACATTACAAACAAATTTTGCGTTTTATAAAATGTGGGACATTTCTTGAATCGCAGAATACACAATATTTGCCTCATAATTTTCATGGGGCTCGATCGGTGAAGAAACTAGGCTACGTGGAGGATTATCGAGAATTCGTGGCTCAATTTCCGGCAGAGGAAAGAGATGTCTTCCTCCTTTAATTCATCCAGACCGACTCTGGGACTGAACTTCAACCGGAAGTGAAGCTAACCCGCTGCATCTAGTGCGGAGGCTAGTTACACTTCCACTCCTGTCTTCATGGAGTGGTGCTTATCTAGGCACAGGATAACGGCACCTCACAGCCTGAGAAAGTGACTGCACATTACATACGAGTACATGAATTTCCTTAGTGTTTTTCTATAAGCAATTAGTGAAAATAAAATTCATTGATTCTAGCTTATGCCCTACTGTTAGCTGAGTTTCTATTCAATCAGTTTGTAAAGCAACAGTATAAATTTATATCCTTTAGAAAATATGGCGCTTATCGCAGGGCCAATAAATTCGGGAACACCGTGCCGAAACTCAGGCACTGATGTGAGATTTTTGGTGGACAATGTGACACTGGAGCAGGTTTCTTTTCTTAGTACTTCGGTTTCCCCTGCCAATTCTCATTCTCACCAACTGCTTCACACTCATCTATCATCGAGGGCTCACAAAATATGCCAATTAGCGGCCAACGTACCGAATAGACTCAATATCACATCACTCCAGGAAACTAAAAAGAAACTATTAAGGAATAAACAGTTCTTAGTTCTTAAAATCTCTGGCATCTTCAAAACAGTGGCATTTTACCTCGGTTCATACAGATCTCTCAGGAAGGGGGGGGGGGGCAGGATGGCGCGTACATCGTCGCCTGAACACAGGAGTGTAATCTATCAACATTAATTTGGGAGAAATGGGGGTTGAAGTTAGGGACTCAACTGCAATTTAAACGTGACTTAGAACAAAACACATCCCAAAACCTAGTAACCTAGTAACGTAAACCTATGGTAGTATGTGGAGATAGTGGAGCAAAATACGGAGCATCAGAGAAGTGCCTTATCTTCTTTTCATCCGAAAGAGGAGATAAACTCTCTATTACTCGTATGACAATATGTACTCGTATATCTTTCCATCTACAGCAAGGTCATGTAAATGGGCCAATGCCTGCACAAACTTTGGCGGCTCTGTAAAGTAGAAAAGATAAGAAAAAAATCAAATTTACTCCAGCGCAGAAAGTACATTGCGATAGAAGAATGATATATGTAAAGCCCCGAAGAATAGACGGAGGTGCAAATATTTGAACACTTTTAGCGCTGCAGAGGCTTTGTACTAGCAACAGTAAGTTATAATGCGGGTGCAGAAGCTAAGTACAAGCAAAACTTTATTTTCGACGCTTGACAAGAACATTTATAAACAAGATGTAGGAGAAAAAGTTTCAAGGCAATTATAAATGGTATTTAACTACAATTTTTACAACCTGTACCTCGTTAAATGTTTTAAAAGTTTGTACTTTTCGCCGAGTATAATTAGAAATGATGTGGTCAAGGAGGATATGGACAGGGTATGTAGCACGAATGGGGCGAAATGAATGCACGTAGGATATTGATGGGAAAGCCAGAAGGAAAGAGACCACTAGGAAGACCAAAACGTAGGGAGGTGGACAATATTAAACTGGATCTTAGAGAGATAGGATGGGATGGTAAGGACTGGCTCGATCTGACTCAGGATAAGGACTAGTGGACGGCTTTTTCGAACCTGCTCAAGCTGGTTCCTCGCTCGCGGATTTCTTTAACCCTGAAGAAGGAGGCTATAATTTCCTCGGAAAGGTCTGTTCATACAATTTCTACACGGCGCCACACCCCGGAAGACGGCATTCTTCACAGTCACCGCTGTGAATACCTCAGATCTTACATAGATCAATCTTCGAAAACGTAGAGGTTAATTTAAAAACATTAAAAAAGATATTACACCTTCCCTGACGATATCAGGAAATAGTAAGGAAATATAAGGATCTGATTGGATAGATCGTTTAGTAGAGAGCTATCCTATTCAACGATTTTATTTACGTATGACAAAGACGCAAGAAATGGAATTTAAATTTTCTACCAATCGAACATTACGGACAAGTGATTAGTTCTAGAAGAGTGAGACGGGGATGTATGGTTTCAACATCTACCCCACAATTACCGGGACTGAATAAAGACATTTTATGATAAATTCCACTTAGAGATTAAAAATTCCGGTTTGAACGAGCCAAAATTTTCTTATATGCAGAGCACATCTGACACATGAACAATAAACTATACTTTTTTTTTCGAATTATTTTTCCGAAATATCCGCTCATCTCCCTCCCCCTTGAACAAAGTCCCGGGACAATATA